GGGGGCGCCGGTGGGGGCCGGCAGCGGGGGTGCTGCTGGTGCAGGGCGGGGAGGGGTGGGAATTGTGGTTGAGGGGGAGGGGCTCGACGACGGGAGGCCGTGGCGTTTTTGTGTGGGGTGTTTGTCCACCGGGCTGTACGTGTAGCATGTGCATGGTTAAGGGGGTGGTTTGGTGGGTGGAGGACGTACAGTCCTTCTTTAACTGAGGCTGTGGCAATAATCTGTGGGGGCTTCGTGTTGGTTGCTAGGATGGCGGCGTCATAGGGTCTGAAGATGAGAGCTCCGTACTGTCTTGCAATGTCATGGACGGATAACAGGTTTTGGCGTATGGCGGGATTTGCAATGGCAGGTAAGGTGAGGGTCTTATTCTTGTTCGTCGGGATCTGTAGGGGACCCGAGTGAGTCGCGGACGAGGTGGATGATGTCGCGGTGTTAGTTATGATGTGTCTGGTGAGGGGGCGCATTCCGGGGGCGGCATTTGTCACGTGTGTCGGGCTGGCTCCGGAATCAAGGATATATTTCATACCGTCGGAATCTGTCTGTATTTCGGAGTGAAAAGCTTGTAGCTCGTTTGAGAGGGCATTGGTGCTGTCCGCCGCCGCATGTTGGGCTTTGGTTGTGCGGCGTGTTGGGGGACGTCTCGTTGGTGCTACTTACCGTTCGGATCCTACACGTGTAACCAGCGGGGTACCACTGTACTCCGCACCGGCCGTGTGCTGTAAATATAACTCCTTACAGTTCTTCTCGCGCTTACAGCCCATCATACTGTATCCCAGGGCGGCAGCGGTGGTGCGATTGCCTTCGCGCCGTTGTACTACAGTACTGAGGCCTTGGGGGGTTGGTGGTTTGTTGTCTTGCCGGGCCGTTGTTCGGGCTTGTACGGCGTTGAGGCGTTGTTGGATCCCCCGGATTGAGGTCGGGACGGACGCGGTCTCAGCCCATGTGTCGGGTAAATGTTTGAAGGCGTGATGGTGTTCTAGGACTTTGATAATGGCATCGACGGTTACTGTTTCGTCGGCAGATATGTTTGGGTATTGTGCAAGACGCATACGCATACGTAGCGTTCTGTGTTTTTGATGTACTCGTCGTCTGTGGTGTCGGGGGTAAGGCGAAGGCGGTCGGCTTCCTGCCTTAGGAGTAGATGAGTTGTAGGGGAGCTGTCCGTAAAGTGGGTTTCGATTTTTGCCAGTAGCTCGGCTGGTGAAGCGTCGAAGGTTAGGTCGGTTGTTTCCGCTAGGTCCTGTGAGAGACTTTTCGTAATCAACATACGCATTGACGCGCAGTCCTTTGTGTGCTTGGCCTGTTGTGCGGGTCTTGTGGGGGAGGTGTGTGTGAGGGATCAAGCGCATGTTGCGCGTCATTGATAACGGCGATGTCTCGAAGTGCTTGTCTCCATATGGGGAAGTTGGTTCCTTCTGGGAG